CGTCGTCTCGTTATCGACGGAAATTTTGTTGACAAGTGCCGGGCGTGACGTCGTCACCGCCACTGAGTCACCGGCGAGGCGGGAGCTTCGAAGCGATTGGCCGACGGGCAGCGCGTCTCGTAGCCGCTTGACCGAGGAATGACTCATTTCCTTCACGTTGTGACCCACCGTCATCAGCATCAGCATCAGCATCGACGGCGTCCCCGTCGTCGCTGTTGTCGTTGTTCCTCTCACTCACTGACCACCACCACGGCCGTCGACGCACTCGCCGCCGATAGCCACAGACACCGGACAATCGCGCAAGCGGGCGGCATGAAGCGCAGGGCCGAGCTGACACTCATCTGGCACTCATGCAAGCAGCCGTTCTGGCCCCTGGACCTGGAACCCTCCGGTACGTATGCGTCGTGTTATGTGCTGTTTATGGTCGCGTTCGTGTACTCTCGTCCGACGTCCGGTCCGATCCGGTCCTTTCAAGACCACGGTTTTACTATTAATGGTGTAAAGTGGTGTAAAATAGAAAAAGCGGTGCGCGCCCGTGAGCAGTCGCGTTTCCGAGCTGATGTTCGAGAAACCGACCGAACCGAACAGACAGCCATCGTTCGTCGTCGCTGCTGCGGCCGTTGTCCTCCTCACCAGGACACGATACGATAAGTTTTAGTCGGCTCGGAGTCATCATCATAAAGGCGACCTCCGTTTAGAGGCGAATGTTATGGAGGGTGGCGTTAAGCCTCGTTCATTAGTCCCTCTTCGTTTCGTTGAGTGTTCGTCGCTTATTCTTCGCCTCGACCCTATCGTAGTCATTCCGACTGTTCAGCTTTGCACAATCGATCCGACGATCCGCTGCCGATCATCATCACCTCGCATGCTTGCGATCATCTCGCCGCCAATCTTGCATCATCGGTGTTGTTACCATAGCGAGATAGAGAGGCCGAGGTGGCAAGAGTGTTGTTGCGTCGTCAGCGGAACGACGGGAGTCGAATCGAACGAGGAGGAACCAGTAATCACCATCAGCCATCGGCCATCGGCCACCAGCCTTTTCCACCACCCCTCTTGCCCCCTTATACGAAAGCCGGCCTTTCCAACATCGTACCACAAATTGCTCCAGTAGATTTTGCGAACTCGTTCTTCCCGCCGGCCGTTGACTGTCTTGTGGACGAAGGGGCAGAAGAGTATCTTTATATTGGCGCTCTTTTTCCGCTCCTTTTAAACCTTTCTCATTTTTAAAACGACGATTAATCATCACCACTTGCCACTGTCAACACCGGGCGGCGTTCACAACGGAAGCGAGACGATCGTCCTCGCCAGCCACCGGCATTTGTGTCGCGTTGTGAACGATCGCCTCATCTGCTGAAGCACTACTTCACTCACACAGTAGTCGCAACGGGCCTCCTGTTTCCTCAGAGTCATTTCATCCGTTTGCCCGGTGTTTCGGCGCATAGGCTACCTACCAGTAGATCACGAAGCTTCTCAACGTAAGTTTCGCTGCTGCCTCCTCGTCGACACCTCGGCGACCGATTTAATTACTGATTCGACGAAAATTTATCTCTAATCGGTTTGATCTATTTTAAAGGAAACTCGACTGTGGGAGCACCTCGTTAAAATTTTTGAACATCGTCTTGTCTTGTGATAACCGAAGGCCAGTTTTTTTTCGAATGACGTTTATGAGTTAATCGTTGTTCCAGGTAGAATGGAAATCTATCTGAGAACAGTTTCTGATATAGTTCTGCTGTACCCTCCCCCTCCTCCCGACTAATTTGTTGAGCGCATATTTAGAGGTAAATGATCTATCTTTTGGTTATCAGCTCCATATTCATATTTAGCCGGGTCTGTGAATTTCCAAGGGGGCCCATGATATATACACAACTGTTGTGCTCTGTTATTATGTTCCTGACGGAGGATCATTTCTTCCGCGGCAGGTCGGAACCGGGACGAAGAGTGGTGGAGTCCTTGGGCGGACGTTTCATAGAAGCCATTGTTGTGGGTTTGCGTTCGCCATGAGCAACGTCGCCTGTTCCAGAAGCTTAAATGTACTTTTTAAAAGATTTCAACGACACGAACTTGACTGAGGAGTCTTAAGGTGGAGAAACGTAGTGAGTTCTGGCCTGAGCATAACGAGAATCATACTGTACTGATTATGCATGCGACGAACATCGATCTGATGCTATATACTCGGTTAGTCGACTGTTGAGCGAAGAACAATTCGAGGGTGAATTCCTCGTTGTAAAACTTGGTTAAAGTCACGAATAGGCAACGGCGCACAGGGAACGAGCATCTATAGCGACATCAAACAAAGAAAAGGCCTTTGAGTACATCAAATCTGAAACGGGCCGTTTGCGGACAGTATGTCAATCGATGGGTCGCTTCGTTTAAAAGTAGCGGACTCCGTAAATCAGCACCACACATCTATCTGACCGCAGATTTT